GGCATCGCTACTAGGAACAAGAAGCTATTAGGGGCTCCTGGCATCGCGCAAGGACGCTACTAGGAGCAAAGACTCGGCTGACACAAATTGCATGTGAAAACCGCTCGTTGGTGGAACGTTGAACAGGACACGGTTGACCTTGCTGGGAAAACTGCTTTGCTGGTGTCCAGCCGTTTCGGTCACAAAGATGTAGTCAATGCATTGCTTCAGGCGAAGGCGCATCAGGCGCAGTTGGTATGTTGAAAATCTGAACAGATTGGGATTAGTACCAAGAAGCTAGTAGGTTGGAGGCCATTGCTACTAGTAACAAGAAACTACTAGTAGCTATATGTAGCTATTAAAGACTAAAGTTCCAGATTCTTCGTCTCAGGACCCTGCAGGACCCTGACGATTCTGGAAAATCGCCCCTATACTACGCTTGCTGCTTTGGACATGTGGACGTGGTTGGCCAGCTGCTAAAGGCTGGAGCCAATCCGAATCAGGCTTCGTCAAAAGGCAAAAGTCCTTTCTCTGCAGCTTCGTCGCATGGGCACGTGGAAGTCTTGAAAATGCTCTCTTCTGCTCTTGGTGAAACTGACAACATCTGAGTGCTCTTAGGACCTGGAGGCCATAGCTCTTAGGTTGGAGGCCGTCACTTGGCCTGCTCGGGTCGTCACCAGTCGATGTGCCGCTGGCAGGCCGCCATAGGCCGTTGAAAGGGATGGATTGGCATGCCGCCACGGTGCGGCCTCGCTCGGTGTCAAGTTGCTGAGCAGTTGCTGTTGGATCGGCATTCAAAAAGCACCAGTCGCCAAGCGCAGCCAAAAGCCAAAAGGAGAAAGTGATAAAAAGTGCGAGTCTTGAAGCGCATTGTCAAGGAAATGTCCTAGCCAACCGAATGCGGCCGACATGTTTGAGAAAACTAAGGTTCTGAGTTTCACCTGTGCCTTGGCGTATGAGCCGAACGTCGCCTTGGAGTATCCACCGGAACTTTTCTGTCTTCCAGGCAGCGGGCGGCGAGGCAAAGCACAATAAAACAATAGAGTTGCATGATGTTGTATGCCATGCGTTTGATTCAATATAAGAAACCACCAAAGGTTGTAGGCTGGTCAGACGTTCCCGTTGATGTGTCCACTGCAGCGTGCACCAGGCTTTCTGCTTTTCACATGCACTTGGGCTTGAGGAATGCGGGGTCTCAAACAAACACAGATATGCCCTATTTGCTACTAGTGGAGACCATTCCTACTAGTAGCAAGAAGCTACTAGTAGCTATTTTCTCACACTTGCCAGGTGGCTCCAGTGGAGCAGGACGGTGGTCAAGTCGAGACGGCAAGGGGTGCCTGGGCACATTGTGTATCATTTTGCTGGAAGGAATGATAAAGAATGAGCTCACTTTCTTGATTGGGTGTTGGTGAACTCTGAGCTAAGGATTGAGCCAGCTGAGTTCTTGAAATGTCGGAAGATGTATAACTGGTGTCCGGCGACCTACACCAGCTTGTTGGTTCAGATCCAAGAAGGAACGGAAATGGTAAGGGCAAACCATGCGACCCTTCAGGCAGCACTCAATTGTTTGTTTGCTTTGGATGTGATCTTGTGTTTTGCTCCTCTTTGTGTAGGTAGCCAGCAGTTCAAGAGTCAGTTGTCTTAGTTTTCGTGTCAGAAAGACGAAGAATGGGAAATTTCAGGATGAGCTATCTTCAGAATTTATACCAAGAGAATTATATATATATATATCTTGATTTTGATAATACCTTTTAGGCCTTGGTGACCCCATGAACAAAATGAGGCCCTCGCTTGGGCTTGTTGGATGGGCGTGTGAGCCGCTTGACGCAAGGTCTTGCTGATTTTGGTTCTTTGCCTTTCTTTTTTGGCGCAACGTCTGATTGCCAACCGAAAGGAGTAAGATTGGCAGTGTGTCCTGAAATCTGAGCATCGCCTTTGGTTGCCAAAGTGACCGGAAGAAGCAAAAAGGCAGGCCATTGGAACACGACTTGATTGCGGAATCAGATGATTCTCTTTGATCACATACATTCATTTTTCCTTGCGGTCAAACTCGCGTCCCCGATGGCCACTCTAAGGCAATTTGCTGGCGAATCGGCAGATTGGAAGTACGGCAGAACTCACCTGCAATTTGTCGCAATCATCCTGTTTTGCATGTGTGCTAAGTTTGCTCTTTGTGACAGGTGAGGACATTCAGTGTGACCATGCCCATGCTTGACCGATTATATGACCTGGTTTTTCATGACAATTGTGATTCGCTGGACTTTCAGACATGGTGCGTGGGATTCTTAAGATGTCCTCACCTAGGCGATGCAGGGCTAGAGCCCCTCGGCGACCTGTTATGTGTTGCGAAGTGGAAGATTTGCAAGAGACGCCAGCAGAGTCACTTTCTGCTTTTTTGTTGGGCCAATCAACATGATTTGCGTTCATACCATGAAAAAACTATACAAATAAGGGAAGTTTGCCGAGGTGTAGGGCTAGGAGATTAGAGGCCGTCGCTACTAGGTTGGAGGCCATCGTTAGTAGGTTGGACGCCATCGCTACTTGGTTGGAGGCCATTGCTAGTAGGTTGGAGGCCATCGCTACTTACTTGGAGGCCATTGCTAGTAGGTTGGAGGGCATTGCTAGTAGGTTGGGGGCCATTGCTATTAGGCTATTCTGTGAAAGCATGTCACACATTCTCTCAGGATGAAGTTCGGAGATACAGTTCTGGGGAAGGTCACTCTGAAGGCACACTGAGTGGGCTTGCTTACATTTTGTGTAGTAGTAGACATGCATGTTTCAGCTGACTCTACCCTGAGATTCTAATGCACTCAAGTTGCAGTGCTTCTTGAGAATTCAAAACTCTGTCTTGCATGAGTCATCAGTGTTGCAAGTTTGTTCTGTACACAAAAAAACATTGGCTCAGTTTCAAGCCCAGGGAACCTGTTTGTGAACTTTCGTGAATGGACAGGTGAACTGTACTATCGGAACGCCTGCTGGCGGTGTTTGGATGTCTGATGGCCTGGACGCCCAGACGAGACGCTCTTTCACTTCGTCTTCTTTCGCATCCTGAGACGTTTTGCAGCATGTTACTAGTAGCGTTCTTGCTCCTAGTAGTAAGGCCAGCAGCCCCTAGTAGCGTCCTTTGTTCCTAATAGCGATGCCAGGAGCCCCTAGTAGCGTTCTTGCTCCTAGTAGTAAGGCCAGCAGCCCCTAGTAGCGTCCTTTGTTCCTAATAGCGATGCCAGGAGCCCCTAGTAGCGTTCTTGCTCCTAGTAGCAAGGCCAGCAGCCCCTAGTAGCGTCTTTTGTTCCTCATAGCGATGCCCCTAGTAGCGTCCTTGTTCCTAATAGCGATGCCAGGAGCCCCTAGTAGCGTTCTTGCTCCTAGTAGCAGGCCAGCAGCCCCTAGTAGCGTCCTTGTTCCTACTAGCGATGCCAGGACCCACTAGTAGCGTTCTTGCTCCTAGTAGTAAGGCCAGGAGCCCCTAGTACCGTCCTTGTTCCTAGTAGTGATGCCAGGAGCCCCTAGTAGCGTTCTTGCTCCTAGTAGTAAGGCCAGCAGCC